ATTTATTTGCATTATAATACACCCAAATTAAACGCGATAAATGATATTATTGCCACTTTATAACTCATACCACTATTAAATAAATATATAAATTTTTACAACATAATAGTGTAATTATTCAGGTACACTGCTTCACATTTTATTTTATTTAGAATATTAAGACGTTAAGAATTAAAACATGAAAAATATATCGTAAAACTAATAAACACTAAATAGATAATAGATGTAAACAAAAACAAGGCGTAGAAACAAAACACGTTTAAGTCAGGAGTAGATTTTAAAAGCATCTCAGGTGCCTGAAGAGGCCATTTTTTTTATAATTAGGCAGATTCTGAGACAGGACTGTTTGCAGCATATTTTTTAAAATGTTGGTTTTTGAGAGAGTGTTTACCTGCTACATCTCATTAGCTATATAGTAAGTTACCTGCCTGTGAGTGTGTGCCATTTCGCACTTTTCGTCACGTTTTCGTCACGTTTATATTTGCTCTGGCGGGTAAATGCACCTGTTACAGCTAACTGTCTGGTGGACCTTTCTTCAGTATCAACTGCGGTTGTTGTTCTCAGGTTGAAAAAAAAGGTAGGGTGGTTATATTTATGTGTGATTTAAGGTTAGTTGTGTTGCCTTTTTTTTTTTTTTATTAGAATATGCAAAAAGGTACATAAATTGGGATCATACAAATACAAAAAACATCAACAAAAAAACATAACAAAACAACAATAAAAAAAAAAAAAAAAAAAAAAAAAAATATATATATATATATATATATATATAGTCAGGTACTGTTAGGTGTGTGTGTGTGTGTGTGTGTATGTGGTCAGGTACTGTTAGGTGTGTGTGTGTGTGTGTGTGTATGTGTGTGTGTGTGTGTGTGTGTGTGTCCATGTAAAGGTAACTTGGTGGAAGGTCAGATTACATACATTAGGAACAATGTTAGCCAATAAATGAATCTAGTCTCGCAGATATAAGTAAAACAGATACAAAAGAAACCAGTCAGAGTTAGGGAGTAACAACTATGCTTAGTAATGTATAATAGAAATAATGACAGTAAAAAGAAAGAAAGGACAACAGTAATAATAAATGACAATGATAATAAATCACAAGTACTACCCTAACTACTACTACTGCAGAAAGTTACTTATATTACTATATAATTATTAACTACTATTGCTGCTACTACAATCACAACCACAACTATTACTAATATAATGTCTACTACTGCTGATACTACCACAACAATGACTACCACTACTGATACTACAGCGTCTGCTACAACTAATACAACATCTACTACTACTACTACTACTACTACCGCAATCACTGCTACTACAACATCTACATCAACGACATCTTACTACTGGTACTACTACACCAACAACGATTACTACTGCTACAACGACACTTTTACTACTTCTGCTACCACTATACCAACAACATCAACTACTACAGGAACTAATACTTCAATAATCACAATTACGATCGATACTACTACAATGACTACTACTACTACTACACCAACAACGACTACTACTACTACTGCTACAACGACACCTTTACTACTTCTGCTACCACTATACCAACGACATCAACTACTACAGGAACTACTACTTTAAAATACAATTACAATTGATACTACTACGATGACTACTGCTACAACTACTACTACTACTACAACAACAACAACAACAATTACTGCAACCTTAATAATGATAATCGTATTAATACTTATACTAATGATAATGAAAATGATGTTGCCTTTTTTTTGTTGCCACTGTTCTAAAACTAATTCGACATCTCGGCTCGCTCATGTAAACGGGCTCTCCTTTCCCATTCAGCTTAAAGGTTCAAGAAGCCCTCGAGTACTTTTTTAGAGATTTTAACAGATTTGTGTGTGTTGAGCATGAGTTAAGACAATGTTAGCACCTGTCAGCTTTAATTGTGGGGAAAACTGGATAATTTTGAGCTTTTGTCCTCTAATTTCAGCTTCCGGGGTTAAATGATTTTTGGGGCGGATCAAAATCGGTGACGTAGTGCAAAACTGCAAGTGAAAGAGCTTGCATAATGAAGTCAACAAATTCCCCACGTTCCCCAACTCAGGCTGATGTGTTCTGTAAAAACTAGTGTTGCTTCTGTGGAAGGAGCTCTGGCTAAGCTCTGCTGCACAGGCACAGCTATTTGTAGGTCAACACAGAGCTTTATCTCTCGTCTTGCTCTGTTTGCATGTACGAGTGTGTGTGTGTGTGTGTGTGTGTGTGTGTGTGTGTGAGTGGGTGTGCAATGATTCAGCGCTAATGGGCGGCTTTTTACAGCTGCTCACTCTCGCACCAAACAATTTTAACACCACATGTGACGTTAAAGAAATCTACAAAACGATGCAAGAAAATACAAGGTGTAAAAAATGCCACTGAAGAGCACAAAAGTACAAAAGTAATGGCTTTTATAATTCTGCTCTGCTCGACTGGGAAATAAAAGGCGCCCGTAGCCAGCAGCAGTGATCATAAAAGCAGATTGGATTTAGATTCTGCTCCTTTAATAAATGCATCACGGGTTCATTAATAGTCGCTTGTATGCGTTTATAACTGTTATCAAAGGTGAGGCTTCCAGGTGATCATTTGTCAGCTGCTATAAAAAGGGGATATAAAAGTGATGCAACACCAGACCAACTTTCAGGAAAATGGGACACCGATCAGCTTCATCAAAATCTACACACATACGACGGTGTTAGAGGACATTCAAACAGAATGTGTTTTACATTTAAAAAATAAAACATATTAAATGTAGAAATTGGGTGGGGAAACACAGTCATGAGTTGCCAGGTGTGATATAAATGCATAGTTTAATTACACAACTATAAACTACAACATGGCAACATCAACAGCCTGAGGAGTCAAGACATTTGTGCTCCTAATTACATTACAAACCACAGAAAAGGGCAAATTCTTCAGCAGGACAGCGCTCCTTCTCATACTTCAGCCTCCACATCAAAGCTCCTGAAAGCAAAGAAGTGCCAATGTGCTCCAGGATTGGCCAGCCCAGTCACCAGACATGAACATTATTGAGCATGTATGGAATGAGATGGAGGAGGAGGCATTGAAGATGAATCCATATCATCTAGATGAACTCTGGGAGTCCTGCAAGAACACTTTCTTTGCCATTCCAGATGACTTTAATAAAAAGTGATTTGAGTTATTGCAGAGATGTATGGATGCAGTCCTCCAAGCTCATGGGAGCACTTCACACTAAATATGCCAAATATGCAAAAGTGATGCAAAAGTGATAACGGGAGCACCACGGCAATGATCCAACATCTAAAACGCAAATATGTTGTAGGGTTTAATGAGGAGGAAGGGAGCGACAGCAGGGTATATCACCACAGAATCCTACTTTGTTCTGTTTTGAAGTGAGGAACATAATTTTTCTGGTGCTGGTGTTTACTTGTTATCCATATTGACAAGCATGACGTGAAAAATAAAAACTGAGTGTTGGCTGGCGCTGAACCGGAGAAAGACGTATCAAATTATCCCAACTGTGCAGTGTTTTTAACCACCCAATGCTTATTTTATGTTTTAGACATGTAAATACACACCAATACTAGTAAAACAACACATTTAGAGTTTGTAAAACACATAAGAAAGTCTATGGAAGTCTAACAATTTTTAGTTGATGAAATAAAAGCAGATGATAATGTGTCTAAAATGTGTTTTATTAACTGCTAAATAAAAAATAAAAAACATGCAGCAATTTTTCATAGCTTTAATTATAGCTTTGATGTCATATTAGAAGCCAGCTAACACACTGTTAACTAAGGGTGTCACGATCCTCCAAATCCTCGATTCGATTACATTTTCGATTCTAAAGTCATGATTCGATTACATTTTCGATTATGAATAATTAATTAATTAATAACGAATTAATTATTTGTAGCCTACCGTTTAAACTACCTGACTTGCATAGTCTTTGTTTTACCCATAAACAAATCATACAGTAAATGAATAAAGGTAAGTTACACACATAATTACCACCTGTCAATCACTTTTTTCAGCGGGACTCGTGAATAGGCAGTGATCGGTGTCGTTATAATGGCGTCGGTAAAAAAAGGTGCACAACCAACAGGAACCAGCCAACACTTGTGTGAAAGTAAAAGATGGAAGCAGTCTACTGACCAGCTGACTGCCTGGACCCGCTGTCTCGAGCGCATGACAATGTGTCTGCGTCTGTGTGTGAATAAGTGTGTGTGGTCACGTGATGTGCGTTTTCAGAGGTAGTGAGGAAGGAGGGCTGCTCAGAAATGCTGCACGCCAGTGTGGATGTCGATCGTTGTCGTTCTAAAATGCCATTTAAAAACAAAGACATATTAGTGTAAACAGGGCCTGAGTGTGTATTTTTCGCGAGCGGATTTGCAACATCCCAACCGTAATACGTAGATAGAAGAGCTTGCAAACTGTGTTTTTTTTTTGGTAGACAACACGAACGTTGTCAACATAACTAACTGGAAATCCAAAATACTTCCACACCGGCGACTTCATTGAAAGAGGAGAGGATTTAAGCTCTGTCGACGGGTCTCCTGCGTCTGCAGTTTAACAAGCACTTCAACAAGCATGTTTTTTTACCGCTTGGTAAGCCAAGCTAACGTGACATGGGGGCGTGGCAGCATCGACGATTCTATTTTTTGATTCGATAATCGAAATTGAGCATAAATTTCAATAAATAAAATCGTGACACCCTTACTGTTAACACAAGATTATGAGAGTCTTCTAAAAACCCAATCAAAACAAATGAATGTGCCTATCTAGCATGTTTACATGCAATAACAAGTGAAAAAGAAAGCTAAAAAACAGATTCGGTTTGAATGACCCCTTTCTGGATTACAAGCCAGCTTCAGCTTTTATTTGATTACAGAGAAAGCAACTCAACAAACCATGTGAGCAGATGCAGGAATCTACGTGCCCATAGTACAAAGGTTTCTGGCCATCAATACAGTACTTTGAGACTCTTATCTTACCTTTCAGAGTGTCTTGCTCAGCCCTCATGATGTCAATCAGAGAGTTCTCCAGAGAATGCATGTTGAAGCCATCGAATGAGCGGGGACGATCCTGTGAGGGGAGGAAAAAGGAGGATGGGTATCAAGACAAACAACTATGATGGCATTCTCATATCCCTTGGCTCTGCGGGAGTATTCCTTTCATCTACAATAGAGTTCAAGCTCTTGTTCTTTTGTTCCTCTCAAAGAACTATATCCTGTTGAATGAAGTCACAAATGAAAGGCTCAACAGAGGCTCCAGACCAAAACACACACAATCGGATTGGTTCACAACACGCTTGACCTCTGGATCATGTGCCTAATGTCTAATGTGGCAAGTCTAATGATTGACATGATTCATATGCACAAAGGTTGAACGCAAATTGGCTGAGAAAGCACAATCCTTTATAAAATAGCTACAAAAACTATGTTTTTTTTACACAACAGCAGTGTACTAAAACCTAGGGCTGGGCAATATGGGCAAAAATTCATATCTAAGTATTTTTAGGAGGAATGATGGTATAGGATATATATCTGGTATTTTGCCCTAAGTAGTTACTTGAGAGTCAAAACCTTTATTAAAACTTTATTAAACAGTTTTTGAGCAAAATATAATTCAAACACAGGGTTTTCCCTCCCTGTTATTATCATCATTATGATCATCATTCTTACATTGTTATTTGTTGAAAGAGTAGCTAACAGTGATATATTAAAACAGAAAAAGAATTGTTTGGTAGAAAAATGCAGTTTTTTTTTTTTTTATTTAAAATTTTATTTTTTTACGTTTTAATAATCGTTTAAACCGCTTGTACACTAGGCACACATACAAATCAAATCTTCCAGTTAAAGGGCTAAAATAAATTAATTAATTAAACAATAAATAAATCAAGACAATGACACCAGTTGACAAATGACACCAATGACAAGTCAATATGCAATACCAGACTAGAACGCAGAGCTAAGGCTGCATTTACACTGCAGATCTTGATGGTCAATTCCGATTTTGTGACTGTATCAAATTTTTTAGATGACCTGCTTGCATCATTTTTTAAAAGTGACTCGTGTCCGATTGTCTGCATTTACAGGGCACACGGCAAAGGCGCAATGACAGTTAACAACAGCTGAAAATTAAGCACACACACACAAATATTGCCATTGTTTTCACAATAGTGGATTTTAAACAAGGGTATAATTTAAAATATATATAAACAGCAGGGAATACGTCACCATTTTTCTCAGAAAACATTTTCAAACGTGCTGTTGACTTGAAATTGTCACTAACAACCACAGAAATCCATATATGCAAGGACAATATTAATTAGTTCACAAATTAAGTTATGAGTGATAGAATAAACTGACACAGGGAAAAAGTAAAAAGCCCAGACAGCAGCTGAAATCTCTCATTAGTTCTTCAGCAACCCACTGCACCTCATCAGTGTAAATGAGTATCAGCTGTCTCAGTCCAACATCTACATTACCAGAACGATGAAGATGAAACCAGGGTGGACATTTCAGCAAGACAATGGCTGTTTCTCAATATGCGTTCTTCAGCGGTCTTGCGTCCTCGTGTTCTCGTGCAACATCATCATCAGCTGCCTAAGTTCAGTTCCAATACTCAAGACCGCAAGTACGGAGGACGCGTGAAACTTCCCGGATGTGTTCTTGATATCGAGGACGCACCGATGCAGACTTCAGCAGCGAGCTCGCTCTGGAAGTCCCAGAAGTCATTGCGACTGGAGGTGGGAAGCGCAGCATTTTATTTAGATTTATTATTAAAGTTCAGAGATATTACTTATTTACCTCAGGAGTTTCCCTAAATGAAACGGTGAAAGTAAACATTAACATGAACATCTTAATAAAGGAATAAACACATTAAGGGTGTTTGTTTGATGAAATTCGTATTAATTTTTTTTTATTTATATTGTGCAGAGTATATTTATAATGTTTTTATGCAGAGTATTTATTTTGAAGAGGGGGGAAACAATAAATCGTTGTATGAAGGCTGTAATGTTTAAATAATTTCCATTTAAAACGCGTGAAGGTCACATGACCATCAGGAAGAACGCAGCATCCCATTTCTCAAAGGACGCGTTCTCTGCCCTCGCGGTCTCCTGAGTTCGTTCTTCCGAGGACACCTGGCAAGACCGGTCTCCACAGAACGCAAGTCCATTCTCTGCGTTCTTGGAATTGAGAAACAGCTAATGATCCAAAACATAGCCAAGAAAACTCTCAGATGCTTTCAGAGAAAGAAAATCAAGCTGTAGAATGGCCCAGCCAATCACCTGACTTAAATCCAATAGAAAATACAAAATAAAGCTCAGATTTGATAAAAGAGTACCACAGAACCATCAAGAGTTTTGCACTGTTGAAGTCTGTGGGGAAAAAGGGAAAAAAAAAACACCTGAGCAATGCATGACTTCATTCTCCACATAAGAGGCATATTTAAGCTGCCATCACTGAAAAACCCTTTTATATAAAGTATTAAATAAATTTAATTAGTTCAGCATGCTCTCCTTGTGTCATTTTATTATTACACGTAACAATTTTTTCAGATATTTTTTTGTTGTGTTATCTATTTAATGGGTTTTTACCAATTAAAAAAATTCAATTCCATGTCAACAACTTCTATAGAATATTTTGCACAAGAAAACAGCACATGTTGAATACTTATTTCCCCCAACTGTAAATCAGATCCTCTAAAATGCCTTTATCATCTAAATAAAATGGCAAAACCGCATAGGAAGTTTTCAAGTTTCAGTTGAAAACGACATTGTGTAAATGTTTACATATAGACAGAGTCAAGCACACAACTAAAATGCTTCTTATACTATCAACTAGGAGAGTAATTCATCTAACAAAGATCTTGTGTAGTTTAGGGATGCAACAATACAGTTAGCCCACAGTTCAATCCATACATCGTTTTTTTAACACTGTTTTCGGTTCGGTTTGGTCCTCATGGCTTGACACATGTTTTATTATTATTCTATAGGCAATAGGAACAGTAAGTGGTTAAGGAGAAAAAATAAAAACAATTTATTACAATACTCCTTTTGTTTTACTTAAAAGCCAAGAAAAGAACACTAGTTCCTAGCGTATTGAATAAAAAAATGAACACTGAAATCTCACAGCTGCTGGTAGCCCATGTACAAACTGGGGAACACATGCATTCCTACATTTTGATAATAAACATACATATGAAGATAATAAAGAAAAATTGGCCATTTCAAATAAACATATTTGTACTTCAGTAAACATAAATAAACCATCTTAATTATCTAGGTGCTAAAAAAAGTCTGTAACGCGGATCGAGTGCTTTTATAAGATGACAAAAGCCTGTATCTATAATCACCAAAAACGGCTGCAAATCTTTAGCAAAAAACACCCACACAGCCTTTGTTTTTTTTATGTGTCTCTCTATACCAGTTGGGTATGTTTGCTTGAAAGATTCAGCGAGGGATTGTTGCTATTTGGAGGACTTTATCACCTACTCTGCTATCCTGCCTTCAGACAGTGATATTGCTGGGTGACGGCGCTGCAGACGTGCAGTCATGGTTATACGTGTAAAACAATGCTTGCACACAGTTATTTTTTGTTCATTGTTTTTTTCTTTTATTGGTATTATAATTACCGGCAAAACCGAAATGTCCTCACACCGCAGATTTGAAAGACGCCGGCGCTTCCATGTTCTGTTGCCTCACTTCACCGCCGCTCGCCATGTTAAAGTGTGGAATGATGGTTTAAGCACCCCTAAACTTTAGAGCATAGTGATTGGATATTTACTCGCAGGGAGGAGTTGCCTCATCTCAGCTCATGGACTTAGAGGCACACACAGTCAATTCGGGGAGATATGAAACGCACATGAATTATTTAAACACAAAACCGAGAAAACCGCAAATCACAAGCGCGTATTGAACCGTGGATGTGGAACCGAAAGGTTCAATATTATATTGAGAACCGTGGCATCCCTAGTGTAGTTTTTTTCCCTTCTTTTGTTATTCTCGTTGATTTATTTTTATTCAATCAGTTTTCTCCTTTGTAATGTTTGTCTCCTTTATTTATTTAATATTTTTATATAACTTATTTTTTCCTCCATAATACTCTCCATAATTCCTTTCAAAACATAACATAAACTTCCAAACTTAACATAAACACGATTTAGAGACATGTATTTAATACCAATAATAATCACACACCAACACATCACATGATCACATATTCATTTAACCTCAGTTTGTGCTTTTGTTTTCTCATGTTTACTGTTAAACCTGCTTTACGACCTCTATCCTCATTGTAAAGCAAAAAAGAGAGAGATTACGTTGTTATGGATTTAATTTAACAACGAATGTCTCAGTGAGAACCTTAAAACACTCAGTTTGTACTTCTATAGCTCAATCAGGCATGTATTTATTTACCATTAGTGACTCTCGTTGTGTCCAATGCCAATGATCAAAACTCACAGCTTTGACGACACTAACCATTCTGTACCAGATCAACTACTATTGGATTACATAAAGACCACAAAAAGATGAATAAACAAGCTAGATAAACGTTAAAAAGCATTCATACTTTAAACGGATTAAAACATTCCTCTTTACCTGATGATTCAGCACAATCAGTGTTTAAACTGGAGCGTCATCTCAAAACTTTGACTTGAATCCAACACATACCTCAGGTTCAAGACTCTTCATTCTATTGTCCACCAAAAACAAACAATAACAGAATCTCGGTCTTCCTGTTTTTTTGAAGGTCAAAAAGACATTCTATGCAAGTACGTCAGCGCAGACGCAAATACCGAGCCTAAAAAGCATTACAAGAGTTCAAGTGTACATACTTAGGCAGCTCTTGTGTTAATGCGACTGTAACACAGCACTTAAACGGTTATAGTTCACCCAAAATTACGATTCTGTTTACTCGCTGTTGACTTGTTCTAAACCTTTGAGTTTCTGTCTTCTGAAAAAGAAGACATTTTCATGAGTGTTAGAAAACTGTAAGCATTGACTTCTATAGTATTTGTTTATCTTGCTATGGAAGTAGACGTTACAAGATTTCAAGCTTTCTTAAAAAGTATCTACT